TTATTTAAGTCCTTAACAGAACACGTACGCGCTATGCGTGTGGTTGACGCTGGACCTGGTTCGCCGCTGCCGACCGTGACCCGCCATGTCTAACCTGGCGCCTTTTAGTTACAACGACCCAGGGAAAACCCCCGGCCCCGCCCCGGGAGCCGTCCGGGAGAGGATCTGCCTTCACACCTACGAGCCTGGGGCAGCCAGCGAGCGAGTTCGCTTTGCAGTGCGAGTTCCTGCTTGTAACGTGCATCCACGGACTTTTTAACATTAATAGTGGTGTACGATTCGGGAAAATACCCCCTCCGGTTCTTTTCCGTCTCCCAGGGCGGCGAGGAAGCCCTCTTGTCTCCTCCTCTGAGCGAGGGCAGCCAGGGACTTGAACGTCTTTGGCTCATAAATAGCCAAATCGGCGATCATTTTCCTGTTCAGCTCCACCTGCGACTAAAGGCAAGAAAAGTTGTGGGTTAAGTCCCGTAACTCCTAGTAACCACGCTGCAAAATCGGTTCCTGTGGTCCGAAGGCCTTTTTGCTACACTGTACAATTTCAGAACTAGATAAATGTCTCATTAAGCCAAAATTTGTTTAATGATTTTCTCAGTCTTTCTGGTAGGAACCAATACCTGAAGAAGAATCTCTTTATTTCGTGGAAGGCCACGTGTTACAGGTTAATCCATGGCACTTGTGTTAATTCTTAGACATGTTCAAGTTTACCTGTTGTGCTAGAAGCTGCCTGGTATCTCAAAATGTGTCCTGGAGTAGAAAGACTGCAGGATCAAATCCTCCTGACACCTCTAGATATTGCACAGTTAGCTGCATATTCTGAGGGAGATATTATAACACTTTGCTTCTTTTGGATCTTTTAACAGAAACACAAAGTTGGTAGAGAAAAGAGTAGAGATTTCCTAGGGCTGTTTTTGCTAATCCAAGCTTTGCATTTTTAAATGGCTTGAAGGAAAGGCAGTTGTCACTTAACGGCTGCAGTAGCAACAAGTGTAAAAGCATTTTACAAGTCTCATTCTTAAAACACACAACAAAAAAATTTGGGGACAGAGCAAAGTGTAGAGCAACAATCTTCACCAGGACAAAAGGGGATTCTGCATAGAAGAAACATGTTTAGGGCAGAACTTGGTTCCTGAGCTGACCAAAACTCCTTTCAGAGGCAGGAAAGTTCAGCCTGACAGAAGGGGCTTTTCAATCTCCCTGCCATGGCGTATGCCACTACTGCCCGCTCACGCTCCAGTTGGGAAGTCCTCATCGTTATTCTTCAAAGACAGGCACATGGAAGCTGCTGCTTCAGTTCCTCACAGCTGCATTCCTAGACAGTGACCGGCAACCCTTTGATCTGTTTTGTCAGACTACCTCTACTTAAAAGATTACAGAGTTTAAAGAAAATAATTTGCCTGGCACTTCAGAAGACCTCTATCAGACGTCTTCTCCAGTTTGTAAAGTAAATATTCTTCAAGCACCATCCTTACCTTATGCAGATTGCTTATGAAAGTTGGGTATGGCAAACCATGTTCAAGAGAAGCTGCTTCAATCCTAGTGATCCAGAGCTGAAAGTGTAAAAATTAACAGACTGGATGATAAAATACTTCAAAAGTAAACTTCTCTGCTCACACTTAGTAAATACAACATTTTCAGATCTACAGTCTTCTCAGTCCAACATACACATGTATGAACTTCAGAACGTGAGCTGTTTCAGACCACAGAGGGACTACACCTACTTTAAACTCGTATTTTCCACCCCCCGGTAAAACATTTTGAGAGAACCACCCAGTAAGGAAAATGGCCAATCTGGCTGTGCTCTTCTCCTGTTCTAACGTTTACATCTAACACTTCGCTCTTTACCGCTCTTAGGAATCTCTTCTTCTCTCTTCTGGCCTTTGTAGCCTTTACAAAAGCTCTCCGAACACTTCGTACAGCCAGCTTATAGCAGCGGTTCTTCCTTCCACGAAAATGCTGAAATGAAAACAGAAGGTTCAGTTATCTTTAAGGCTCTTAAACCCTTCTGTAATAGTAATATACAGCACGGTCTATTTACAGGCTGCTTTTGCCATAGTGCTTGGATTCCTTCCGCCACAGGGGTCTTTTATTCACAGAATCACTGACCGGTTTGGGTTGGAAGGGACCTTGAAGACCACCTCGTTCCAAGCCCTCTGCCACAGGCAGGGACACCTCCCACCAGACCAGGTTGCTCCAAGCCCCGTCCCGCCTTGAACCCTCCCAGGGAGGGGCTGCCACAGCTCCCCGGGGTGACCTGTTCCAGCGTCCCACCACCTCCATAGTGAAGAACTTCTTCCTAACGCCTCATCTCTTCCTAACGCCCCTTCTAAATCCACCCCGTTCTAGTTTAAAACCATTGCCCCTCGACCTATCGCTACACCAACTTGTGAGCAGCCTCTCCCCAGCTCTCCTGC